TTTTTTTTTTAAATAAAAACCAAAAATGTGGAACACTACTCATTGTGCATTTATGTGGAAACCACTAAGAGGCAGAGGAACCAGAGAAGATTCATGACAGTAAGTATAGTCAAAAGACTTTGGGAGGTTTTCTATGAAGCAGTATTCTTGAGAGGAAAGCAGCTTGCATTTACTTCCACTTTCAATCAGTTGATACCACCTGTGACCCCCTGCTCTCTTGTACCGAGTGCCCTATTCCAAGACCAGCTGAAAAGGGCATTTTAGCTTCAGACTTACACTGCACTGTCAATCACAGTAAAGACTGGAGCAATATATTGTCAAGATAAAGCCACCACTGCAGGAATGCCTTTCCAAATGAAGCTCCTTGTCTACAAATAAGCAGTTACTCGGGAAAAACCCAAAGTAATTAGTTTTTACGTTACAATCTGGCTAATGTGAATAAAAAATTAATTTGGAACTGGCTCAATACATAAAGCAATATCTAAAATGAAATGTTTACTATTCCGAGAACTACTGCTGGCAGTTTCGTTACCATGGCAGTGGCTAATCCATGCCTCAGGGAAGCAAGGAGAAAATCCTTACGAAGGGACATTGGGGCACAGAAAGAAGGACGTGTCAGAATTGCACCAGAGAGAACCATGAAGATCAAGACAGAAACCAATGATCCTGCAACAGGGGACATAAACCCAACCCTAAACCACAGCACCTGGGCCTCACCTGCTAAAGGCAAGGAACTGTAGAACTATTTCATTGCTTTGCAAGAAGTCAGCTTCTTCCCTCTGGGGGTCAAAGTTCACAGGGGCTGCAGGGTCCAAAACTTCTGCTGGTTCCTTGTTGCAATCCAGGATTTCTGGAAAGCCAGCAGCATGTAGGCGGGCTAGAGAGGCCCGAGTGAGCGCTGTGGTAGAGCTGAAAGAGAAATGCCTTTGAGTTTTCCAGGCAGTGAGAAACATCAAAATGCAAAACTTTTCTATCTTGGTGTCTCTGGTACCTCTTTAATGAGCATTTTAAGTTGGTTCCAAGTTACTTAGAGAGATGGTGTCAGCAAGGAATGGGCTGGTGACACAGACCTGGAGCTCCATCCCACTAGCTAACTAGTGAGTTCACCTGCTCATGCTCCACTCACTGGCACCTCTGGCAAAGGGCCTCACCTGCTTGCCTGTGCTCCCATAGCAATGATTGGCACATGCACTGGCATGAAGGGCAACTCCTGCAGCTGGTCACTCGCCAGGGACTCTTGGGCCAGCGAGCCACAGCTGAGGTCAGCCTCCAGATGGGTTATGCTGCCACTGCCATGCATCTGCTCCTGCTGACAAACAAGGGGCTCAGATGAAATGAGCAGTCTCCTAGATGGACAGGTAACACCACAGCAAGGGGGCAGGCTCTGGAGCTCCTTGGGCTGCAGAGCCAGTGGCCTTACTCCCAGGCAATGGGCAGAACACAGAACTACTACTGCCTCACAGCCAACTGGCTTATGCACTGAGCTCTGCTGCCTCTCCTGCATGAAAGTGCAGCTGTGAAGAAAGAGCTGAAGCATTCTCAGACACCCAGGTTCTATGTATGCTGAGCTGTGGAACATGCTGTGACCACAGGCCTCTGTTCACTTTGTAGCTCTGTGAGAATGCATACCCAAGTAAGAACACGTCTTTCTGCAAAGGCTGGACAAGGGAAAAGATAGGCCAGTACTTAAACCTAAATTGAAACCCTTACTGTGCGTCTATGCTGGCCTCTCCCTGGAGATGGAGGAAGTAGAGAGCCACTGGGCCGCTGCAACGGGGGTTTTGTTACATGGTGTGGTGACACGGACAACTGAGAGATCGACAACTGGAAAGGAAATAACTGATTATCATTAAGTTGATGAGGCTGCTGAAGGAAGAAATGCCATAATGTATGAACTTCCTGCGGGAACCTGGTTAGGTCAGGAGTGCCAGAAACTCATGCAAGACAT